AAAGACGCCAAGTTGTGTGCGGCCCGGGACCCGGGAGAGGAGGCGGCGCCGGCCGCCCGCCCGCCCGCCATGTAAGTGCGCGCTCGCCGGCCCTCCGCTCTGGACGCCGGGGCGCCGCTGCCCCGGCCCCGGACTCCCGAGCTGGGCTGATCTTCGGGCCGTCCCTGCCCGCCGCGTCTGCTGTCGGCGTCTGCCTCCGGGGGGTGCTGCTTGCCCATCCTTGTCCCCTCCCTTCCGGCGGGGCCAGCTGGAAACGCACCCCCCCCGCGGATGGAGGGCACTTCGTGCGTCTTCACGGGGCGGGGCGGGGGGCGGCCGGCGCACGGAGCTGGGTGAGGACCGGTCTCGGCCAGGGCGCCTCCGCCCGGCTTGAGATGAGGACCCTCCTGCCCCGGCTCGTCTTCCCCAGCCTCATGGCCCAGACAGCCCAACTCAGCCGCTGACCTCAGCTGACGAGATTTGAAAAGGGGAAAAAAAAGTAGCCAGAGTGACATCCAGGACTGGAAGGCGGCGGAGAGGAAAAGGGTAGGGGGGAGGGTCGGGAACGCGGCGGGGAGGGAAGGAGTGGGGTTTACGTTGGAGCCTCGCAGCTGGACTCGGGCGTTCTGGGGAGGGAGCTGTGGGGTGGGTGGGCTCTGCGCTTCCGTAGTCATTTCTTTATGGAAAGTCTGGGAAGAGGGTTAGGAACTCTTTCTGAAAGGGAGCAGGTGGAAATGAATGCACCGGGAACCCTTTGAATGACTGGTACCGGAAAGTATGGTTTACTTTGCTGGTTAGACACTGACGGTCCGTCATTCAGCCGGAGAGATGGCTCCGACAGAATCACTGAACCAGTGAATCCGAATTGCAGATTTCAAAATAAGTCACGCACAGGCTTTATTTACACTAGTGGAAGATAGTTGTTAAGACTGAAGGAATTCTCAAATGCTGCTTAACGAGTGCTGGGAGTGCCTGATAATAGTTCTCTCCAATGGATGTGCCTACGTAATAATGTTGAATTTATGGTACTCTGCACTTGTGAAAAATTATCCTAATTATTTTCTTTGGGCTCATGCAGAAAGCTAATGGCACCGTTAAAGGGACACAGAAAAGTTCCTACGAACTATGAGCCAGAACTTGCAAGCCAAATAAACCATGTAATGGTTCATTTTATTTTAATATCCTGGTTATGTTTATTGCTAGTAAGAATGCTACGTTACTTTTAATGTGAGAATATGGAATGAATTCACTGGCTTGGCAGATAGAAGTCATGCATTTCTTTAAGTAAATGGCTGTCAGAGTTAATTTGGGAGCATTTATAGGAGATAAACGTGGAAAAGCTTGAGCTAGTTTGACAAAACTTCAGTTCTAGACAAGCTTTAATGTAGAGAGAATTAGTTATTCTCACTTTTGAAGTGTTGAGACAAGTTTGCGTGTTTATTAATTAGAAGTTGTAGACCAACTGAGTAGGCATTCCACTTCTCTAAAGCATTTAATTTTTAACATTTTCTGTTGTTGTTTTTACCAGGGACCATCCCACTTACTCAGAGGAAGGGAAGTTGATGTGCAGTAGGACTGAAGACTCTTTCTGTTATTAGCCCCGCCTGCAGTGCAGAACTGTGGATTACCTGTGGATCCCGGGCAGTGTCACACCGGCACCCCTCCTGCAGTCCCTCAACACTTACTCTGGGACCTGATTGCCCCATCTGGTGAAAGATGGCGTCCAGCCTGACTTGTACTGGAGTGATCTGGGCTTTGCTCTCATTTCTTTGTGCTGCCACCTCCTGCGTGGGGTTCTTTATGCCTTACTGGCTCTGGGGATCACAGCTGGGCAAGCCTGTGTCCTTCGGTACTTTCCGGAGGTGCTCCTATCCTGTACATGATGAGAGTCGGCAGATGATGGTGATGGTGGAGGAATGTGGGCGCTATGCCTCCTTCCAGGGCATCCCCAGCACAGAGTGGAGGATCTGTACCATAGTTACTGGCCTGGGCTGTGGTCTCCTGCTTCTGGTGGCGCTGACCACTCTCATGGGATGCTGTGTGTCTGAGCTCATCTCCAGGACAGTGGGAAGAGTGGCTGGAGGAATTCAGTTCCTGGGGGGTAAGTGACTTGCTAAACTTGAGTTGTTTACTGGAATCCCAGAGCAATATGGAAAATTATGTTTAAATTGTCCACTGAGATTATTGTAATTGACCCTTGGAATGCACTGGAGAAGTAGCTATGGAATGCCTATGGTGGCTAGAGTCAAAAGATGTTTACTGGAATTGCTTTCCAACTTCAAGAACGCTTAATTTCTGTCCATCCTTAGACATAAGCATCATTGGCCTGCTAAGTACACCACCTATGTGAGGCAGTAACATCTAGATTGTTTGTAGTGTAATGGATGAGACAGATTGGATTTTATAGCTTCTTGTTCTTTACGTCCAACAATAGGCAGCTTTACTGGAATCTTCAGGTGCTTAGAGACAAAGGCTTCTTAGAAAGGCGGAAAAGATGTTTAATTCAACATTGTTGTCCTAAGCTGTTGATTCTCTTTGATGGAGGTAAAATTGACCCTTGCCCAATTTTAACTGTGTTTCTAAATGATTACTGTTTACAATTAGACAGCAGTTTCCTATTAACAGCTGTGGATTTTACTGTGATACAAAGATAGCTATAGGCTTAACTGCCTTGTTAAGACTTAACTTCCCTGGCAGCCCTTACTGTGAAGAAAAGAATATTTCCCACATGATGTCTGCTTGTCCCAAATGGACTGGATAGTTTCACTAACACTAGAAAGGGTTTGATTTGTACTTGGGTTTCTTCCAGCAAGTATTGCTTCAGTATCTCTGATCGTATATATATGTATTTTAAATATATAACTTTATTTATTTTGTTGAGGATATACACAGCAAAACGTATGGTTTTAATTATACTTTATGTATTTTCACTGTGCTTTTCACCTTCATTCTTTAGGCTAACTGGCTGAACTTGTCTGATTCATAATCTGCCCTGGTGAAATATGACAACCTCCACAGATAGGGCAGAGTGGAGGGAAGTATGAGGCCTGGGAAACTTATAAAAAGTATCTGTAACTTTGTTACAAAGTGAAAGTCTCTTACTCTTCCATTTCGTGGGATTTTTTTTTTTAGGCTTTTGTGAGAAATCCAGAAGAAGAAAAAAATTGAAAATAGATGGTTCTGAGATAGTCTCTGCAGATTGGAGAACCCCGTGTGATTATTTCAGTTTACTTAATACAAAACTTTCAAATAATGCTTTAAGTGAGAACATTCTTGTGCTAAAAATGCAAGTGGCAAAACGTTTTGAAACAAGAAATAGAGTTGTTTGCAGTCCTTTATTTCCTTAGCGGATGTAACTTTCTTTTCATCTGTTTATTTCCCTGTGGTTTTGCATCTTACTCTGGCCTAGAGGGCAATTTGGGGAACTTAGCTGTCTGCTCCTTGCTGATTCACTGTTGAACCTTGAGTAGTGGTCTTGATGTGATATGCTTACTCTATAGAAATATGGTAAGACTATTAGGAAACATAAAGAAGTTGTCTTTGAAAGTTGGAATGTAAATCCTGAGTTTGAAAACTTGTTGATACCACAGATTTTAAGAATAGAACTCATGCCAAGAGTGTTTGTAAACTTTTTCTTGAAGAATTAACTTGCTGCTTGCGTTTCACTTGGTTGAGGAGTGACGCTTAGGCACTTTACTTTCTCCCCTTGTGGTAAATATTACCTTCCATTTTTTCTTCATATTAGGGCAGGGACTGCTATTATTTCTGGCAGAACAGGAAAATGCTTACAAAGTGAAGTCAGTTTTTATTGATTACCTTTAAACATATAATGAAGTCAACAGGAAGTGAACCTGAGACCCGTGAGATTTATGCTTCCCTCTCTAAGCTATGTATAGATTTTTTGAGTTATATAGAGGTAAATGTTCTGCTTTACAGAAAACCCGAGGGGAAAGACTGTTGGTGAAGTTTTATGTTTTTTTAAAAAGGACCGCCTTTTTTCTTTGTACATGCTTTTCCTGAACTCTAGCTTTAAGAGTTACTGACGTTAAGCTAAGGACTTAGTTCATTACTAGCAGTTGGCATTCTCTCATTTCTCATATATAGTTCTCATATCTGACAAAAATCATTATGAATCTAAAAACTAAGAAGGTTCTTTTGATTCTAACCTCTTGAGGGCGCAATTAAACACATCCTATTAAAGATAAGAGTAAGTTTAGAATTAAAAACTTGCAGTTTGGAAAAGGTAGTATTTATAAAAATATGCCATTAATTGCTATCATTTAACAGACCAGTTGATGGAAAATGTTTTAAAAAGAATTCCTCCGATGTATTTCATAATTGTGTGTTTTTTCATAAAAACTTATGTAGGAAGTAATTTTATTTTATGAAAATTTTTTATAGAAGAGCTGGGTTTCTTAAAGACTCTGCAAAATGCCAAACCACTGAGTTCTAGAATGACATAGATTTCAGTGCTTCAGAAATGCAGTCAGCACACAGGGTACTCTGCTGTAAGGCTGACTGTCTTCCTAAAAATGATTTGCCTGGAATGGTTATGTTGAGTTAAAGTTAGGGTTGCTCCAAAAGCAACAGGAAGCAGGAGGATGGCAAAATGCAGAGGCACCCTGCTTAACCCTTTCTGCTGTGGTGAGAGTTTGCCCACACGGTGTGACATCAGGCAGTAAAACGCCTGCAGGAGTTTTAAACAAGTTACAGGACAAAGTGTCAGCCTTCATTTTGAATTGTCTTGCTATGGTTGGTTAGAGGTTAGAATGTCACCTGTCAACTGATAGAGCAACATAAAATAGGACTGTTGTACATGGATGTTTTGCTACCTATGGAAGGAACACCTCAAGGAATCGAAGACTTCTGCCACTTTTCTTGTGGTAACTTGTAAATAAATTTTAACTGCCACCATCTCCATCTGATATAGTAAGTCATATTCTTGTCATAATTTTTAAAACTCAGTGTGGGTTGAGCTTTACCCCCAATTAAATTTTTAAAAGGCACATAGAAAACCTGTGGAAGATATAAACTATAATTAAAATGTTAACATGCCTATACTGTGGAAATGACGCAGTGAGAAAATAGAAGTTTTAAGGTCTTTTTTGGTTTGTTGACTATAAATTTTGGGTTTTCAAATACTATTGTAGCCATTAAGTACTCTAACAGAATATAAAAAATGAGCATCAAACTTTTTGATGTATGCATTAGTAAAATATCTTCTTTACATGCTCTGCACATGAAAGAGGTCCTTGGGTGGCACAAATGGTTTGCGATTGGCTACTAACCAAAAGGTTGGCTGTTTGAACCCGCCCAGTGGCACCAGGGAAGAAAGACCTGGCGATCTGCTCCTGTAAAGATGAAAGCCGGGAAAACGCTATGGAGCTCCGTTCTGCTCTGTAACATGCGAGGTCATCATGCGTTGGAATTGACTCAATGGCAGTGGGTTTTGTTTGTTTTGTAAATGAAAGAACGCCATAAAGACGTATTAAATTCTGTCAAATGGTACTTGCAAACTCAGGGACTGAATCTGTAGATTTTATCTTAGGAAACTGCCGGTGCTGTAATGAGGAGGTAAGGAAGAAGGCCCCACGCTCTTTTCTACTGATGTGTATTGTTTAGATTATTTCAGACTGAGTTTGAACGTGGGTCACATATATGTGTAAAATGGTCGTAGAATGCTGTTCAGTAGCAGCCAGCTACCTTTCCAGTTTCGATACTCTTCTCGTATGAGCAGCCAGGGGAGATCAGCTCCTCGACTGTTTGAAAGTGAAGTGTTGCTCAAGACAGGAGGGATGACCAGTGTTTCTTCCAGCATCCCTTTCTGTGTGCCTGAAGCCTTTGCAGGGTTCCCTCACTGTGGGGTCCCACCTGCCTGTCTTTTGTCCTTCAGGATGAGTGCATGGGCCTCTCCTTCCATTGTCCCACTTTAAACTTGTCTTTCGATAGGAGCCCTGGTGGCGCAGTGATTAAAGCACTCGGCTAACTGAAAGTTTGAACCCACCAGCTGCTCTGCAGGAGAAAGATGTGGCAGTCTGCTTCCGTAAAGATTACAGCCTTGGAAACCCTGTGGGGCAGTTCTGCGCCGTCCTACAGGGCCACTATGAGTCATCGACTCCGCAGCAGTGGGTTTGGTTTGAGTGTCTGACGGTATGCCCCATTATGCTTTCCTTCACATCCAGGTTCTCTGTCAAGCGACAGCAGAGTAATGAGAGAAATAATAATTGTTGGCATATTAATGGACGCAGAGTTTTTTTTAGTGACAATGTCTTCATTGAAAGAAGTTCCCTAATTTTAGGAAATCCAGGTTCCAGGAGGGCCAGTTGGAACAGGTAGGGTTCTTTTTGCTCCTCTTTAAAGTACACCTTGTAGATTACTAAGTACCCTAGTGCGTGTGGCTGGCTCTCACCCTGTGATACCAGGTGCTGTGTTCTTCTGTGCTAAGCCTTGTCCTGAGTGTAAGCCAGCAGCTCCCAAGCTTTACGATGCATCGCAGTCACTGCAGGGCTTTTTAAAACACACATGGCTGTGGCCTACTCCAGACTTCCTGATTCAGTAGGGTTAGGGTGGGGGCACTGGTCGTTCAGTGGTACAATTCTCATTTTCCATGTGTGACACCAGGTTCGATTCCTAGCCAATATATCTCATGTGTGGTGACCATCTGTCTGTCAGTGGTGGACTATGTGTTGCTGTGATATTAAACAAGTTTCAGTGCAACTTCCAACTAAAATGGACTAGGAAGAAAGGTCTGGTTTTGAAAACCAGCCAATGAAAACCCTATAAATTACAAGGGTCTGTCCACAACTGGGAAACCCTGGTGGTGCAGTGGTTAAGAGCTGTGGCTGCTAACCAAAAAGTTGGCAGTTCGAATCCACCAGGCACTCATTGGAAACCCTATGGGGCAGTTCTCCTCTGTCCTGTAGGGTTGCTATGAGTTAGTATGGACTTGATGGCAGCGGGTTTTGGTTTTGGTCCACAACTGATCATGGGAATGGCACAGGACTGGGCAGCATTCCTTCTGTTGAGCCTGGGGTGCCTATGAGTGGGGGCTGACTAGCAGGCAGTGACCAACACAAGGTTTGGGGTGATTTGTTGTTGTTA